ACCTTTTGTATCGCTTAAGCGATTATTACTAAAGACACATGATCGCTTAAGCGATTTATGATCGCTTAAGCGATCTTTTCCGAGGCAGAAGACATCTACCCAGACTATGATCGCTTAACGACCTTTCGTATCGCTTAAGCGATTATTACTAAAAGACACATAATCGCTTAACGTATTATGATCGCTTAAGCGATCTTCCGAGGCAGATGACATCTGCCCAGACTATGATCGCTTAAGCGACCTTTCGTATCGCTTAAGCGATTATTACTAAAAGACACTTGATCGCTTAGCGATTTATGATCGTTTAAGCGATCTTTTCCGAGGCAGAATGACATCTGCCCAGACTATGATCGCTTAGCGACCTTTCGTATCGCTTAAGCGATTATTACTAAAAGACACATGTCTTATTGGACAAACCATACATAGTAAATTGAAACTGCTGATGAATTATCTTATATGGACAAACAAAAATATTCCCAAATATCAGATCCAATTCTTTACAATGATCACACCATACTAGGAAATTATTTACAATTTCCTATACACTGCCTTTATTTTTTTTTGATGCCAAACAGTTTAGAATCCACAGTGAATGGTATCAGGGCAGTCCATGCTTGAAAAGATGCCCCACATCATTCTTCCCGATGCTTTCGGCTGCACTCATGCTCCTCCAAATTCAAGATGATATCACAAGGGCGGTTCTGTGGCTGGTTGACTTCTGTGGTGTGACCTCCACTAGTGACCGCAGTGTAAAACCATATGAGAAAGGCAGAGAAGAAAAAGCCAACCATGAGAACAAAAAAAGCAGCTGACACAAAGTACACACAAACACCAGAAAATGAACAGTATAACACCCATGATAATATAACAGACACATAAACTCAACCAAAAAACCCAAGTATGAACATCACACACAAAACTACACAATTCAACGTCCAACTTTCAACCCTTGATTGGGTTCTGGTCACTCAAAACGGATCCATCTGCCCATGGAACAGTCGACAGCCCAGCGCTCCCGACAGTCTCTCATTGTTTCGTCATTCAAGCTGTCCATCGGGCTGTTGGTCATGTCGAACTGAATAAATTTTAGGGCATATGCCCCACATTCAGCGCTACATAGGAAGAAGACATTAGCATTATAATAAACTTATAGAACAATTGTATTTGTAAGTTAGTTTTAAACAAATTTACCTTGACTCATTTATTGGGCAGGTAGAGCGCTGAATTCACCACTTGCCGGTTAGTACCTGTCACCAACTGCCCAAACATCCCGCTGTCACGCAACAGCCGCGGGAACACCTGGACAGTGGCTCCAACTCGACCTCCAACTGCTTGTCTCGACAAATGGTTGGGTTGCAGTCAAGGATCTTCAGACACCCCTCCTCTAGATGCGCAACGACTGTTATCCAGTGCATCTGTTTGACGAGGTGATGCGTACACTCTTTAAACAAGGCCCAACCGTGGCCATATTTGGGCCGATCCCCCCTTACGTACTGCATAATCCTATCATCAAACCGGAAATCATCAGGGATGCAATCCGACTGTGGTGCGGCCAATCGTTTTCGCTTCGGTCCTTTTGCTACACCACTAGCAACGGCATTTTTAATTAGACCGATATGCCGAAACAAGCGTTTGCCCAAACGCCACATCGGTGATAGCACAGTCGGGATACAACAGTCACCATCACTAGTCGGTCGTAGCCTCATCAGTGTTCAATATCTCATCGATGTCTACATCAAATAAAACAACAAGATAAGTATGGAAAACACAGCAAAAATAAGGAAAATTAGTGAAAATAACTCACCATCCTCAAGCCACGTCCCCATCGTCAACAACTTCTAAAACCATTCCCGGGGATAATCCCTGTCTTACACTTTATATGGCCATCAATTCCCATCCATTGTAATACATAAAAGAGTTTTTTCCTTTCCTCTATTGGCCTATACAAATCGACATTTGAGTCCAATTTCCCTTCCCCACTTCCTCCCCTTCCTCTTTTTTACATCCCCACTTCCTTCGCCTCCCACTCCCCCTCCTCCATTATCACCGCCCCACTTCCACCACCAACCTCCTCAACCTCCTCCCTTTCTGGTGTTCCCTCATTTGTTTCTTCATTTTCTTCTTCTTTACCTGTGTCACTACCATGTAAGCGATTTCACAAACTTGCTCTTTCGGCTCTCTCTTTTCAAGCCAGTTTGCACTTCAACCGCCTTTAATTCTCCACCAACTTCCTCCTCCATTGTACCAACTTCGCCCTCCATTGTACCTACTTTCCCTCCCACCTTATCCACTTTCTCTCCACCCTTTTCATTGTTTCTTCCATCTTCTCAAGCTTTGCATAAACGGCTATTGTAAAACTCTCAAATAGGCCATTATGAGGTCAACAACCTCATTCTCCCTATGCCGATGTCTCGGCAAAGCGGTACTTGTTGTACCGGTTTGCTGAGCATACGAACCTCTTCCTCCCTCTTCTCCTCCTCATCCTCGGCCCCCCGAGCTTCATTATCCTCAGCATCAACGACATTGTCAAGCAATGACCTGCAACTGCCATCACATGCGTGACCCCTTTAGGTCCCGCATCAGGCGGTCTATCTGTTCATCCCTTTCATCCTCCATTGCTCTGAAAGATGTGACATAGTCCTCTTCCGCTTCATCCCCAATAGGGTCAAAAAGGGACGGCGACCTCCCTGCAATAAAAATAAAAATCAATCAATGAAGCAAATAAAAAAGCAACTGCATATTCAAAGCTTAATCCTTCAATCTTACCCCAGCTGCTTGATCTCAATCTCTAATTGGCCATAATCCCAATGGTTACAGCTCTCGACATGCCACCGCAACATCCTAGAAATTGCTGTTGCACATTCACATTGTTGCTCCTCCCTCCCGCCTTAGCAAGACAGTGGCCTCGTACATCCAAGCCTACATTGTAAAAAAACAGTCCATGTCATTACAAACACACATATATAAAAATATAACATAGAGCTATTATATTTACCTGCATTGCCCATGGGAACAAACAAATTATACGTGCTTGGTTTAGCCTTCCCGCCCCATTCGGCATGCTTTAACACCATGTCTGGTTTTTTCAGGCTCTTGATGGTTCGCTCAAATGATATCCGTCCCCACGGATAAGAATTAAAGAACTCCAAGTCGCTTACAAACAGCAACCAATCTTTCTCAATAGCTTTTGTTGAGTCACCAGCCATAGATAGAATGTAAAAACATATCAAGCACACTTTTATCTTCTCTGCATCACTAAACCGAACTGTAGATAGCCTCTTCTCTAAACTTTTCCTGTAATAGACTTTGCCCCTTTCAAAACCTTTTTACAAAAGTTTATGGCTCCCGCACTCTTCCTTACTGCGTCTGCCTCCGCCTTAGTTGGCACTTTCCCCGATCCTAAGCCCGTCACCAACGCATACTCCATCAACACAAACCGTAGTGGCTTTCCCTCCACCCCGAACCACATTTCTTTTTTTTCTTGCATTTTACTGAGTGCATCAACATGTAATGCACTCCCTGCCCCCAAAATGACTTTTTCCACTTTTTTCCGATTCTTAAAAATTGACCGAAACAATGTCACCAAAATCTCTTTCATCGTGCCTCATTCTAGCTAAAATGGCCCTTATTCTGTCAAAAACCTCCCGCTCGACCTCACCGTCACCTTGCAGGGAAGTAGGGTACCTTCTCACTTATAGGCTCCAACTCGTACTCTCTACAGCTTACGGTCCGCACAATCTGCACAATCGATATAATAAAATGTCATCAACAAAATAAACCAAACCACTGTAGTCGCTTAAGCGATCTCGGATCGCTTAAGAGATCTTTACTGTCTCATGCAAGATCGCTTAAGCGATTTAAATCGCTTAAGCGACCAAAGTTAACTGAGAATCTCTTAATCTGTGATTCTGCCCAGACCTAAGATCGCTTAAGCGACCAAGAGTAAAACACTCATGATCTCTTAAGCGATCTTTGGTCTGGGCAGAATCATCTGCCCAGATCTCAGATCGCTTAGCGATCATTTTATCGCTTAAGCGATCATTGCTGCGATCACGAGTAAAACAGAATAATCGCTTAAGCGATACAATGATCGCTTAAGCGAAATTACAAGCAACATTCCCAAACTACGTACCCTATCTTCGCCGGCCTTCTCCTCGTCGCCTGGACCTCCGGCGACTCCTCCTGCCCTGAATTATCGCCGTAATCCACCTCCTGGCCTGCATTCTCTCCGGAATCCCCCTTCTGGCCTGAATTCTCGCCTGACTCCTCGTCTTCACACCCCTTTGCTGGTTCTTCCCTATTTTCTTGTGCCGTCGGCGTCTCCTCTACGTGTGGACCACCTTCAATGGTCAGATATCCACCAGAGCAGCCATTGAACTGCTTGTGCCACCGGATCTAGGATTCGAAGTGGCGTTGGGCTTCCCTCCTCATTGTCATGTCACTCATGGTTTTGGATTGAATTTGGTGTCAAAGTTTGCAGTTTCGATCGAAAATCTGGACTGTATCGCCGGAAATGGCACATTTTTCGTTTACGGTTAAGGAAATCGTTTTAGGTTCACAAATCGATCGAAAATCGCGACTATATCGCCGAAAATCGCGACTGTATTCGGTTTAGGGTTCAAGAAATTGATTTAGGGTGCATCAATTGGTGTTGGATCGGAAAAATCGCGTCTCCCTTTCGTTCAAGAAATCCGTTTTCAACTGATGAATTTCGATTAAGCGAGGTGAATAGTTAGTGGGGCTTGTTTTGCGAAATTTCAAATTTTGAAAACTTTCATTATTTCTGATTCGGCCCACATGTTTTAATCTTCATTTTAACCCATTTATGTGTTTAATTAATCCTAACTATGCCACGTCATCTTCTCTAAATTATAAAATATTTGATACAGTTTCAAGGCCATTTTCTTAAATACGTACTTGGGGTACGGGTAGCTAAATTTTCTCTAAAATTTGTAAAAACCGCAAGGAAATAAAAAAAAATGAAGCTTCAAATTCAAAACATGGCGGAGGAGAGAACAACAGAGGCATTGTGGACACCTCTTCACTCTCCATCCCGTCTCTTCCATGCTCTTAGTCTCGGAACCAGGTCGCTTTCTGTTCATTTTCTTAAATTTTTATACGGAAGTTAGTTTTTTGATTTTGATTAGTTTAATTTTATTTGGAAATTTAAAGTTTGAAAGATGAAACAGATGCGGTGAAGTGGAGAGAATTGAAAACGAAATGGAGGTGACGGACATTGAAATACAGAACATGTAGTTCGCTCAATCGCGGCGTTTCTTGATTCTGTTCTGCTGATGCGTCGCACCTCCGCTCGTTAGTATTCTTGAGCTTCTATTGCTTTGGAAGTGCTTTTGTAGAGAGTGTGATTTTTAGTGAAAACACTTAGATTATGCCTTTCAAGTGATGTGTTCATGAGTTTCTGATTTTGGCACTTTAATTGGCCAATCAAGTTAATGTTTGGAATCAATATTTTTTGTTTTGAAAGTGATTTTAAAAAAAAAATCTTGCTTGACTAAATAGCACTTAATCGCGTCTCAATTCTGAAGTGCTTTTGTAGAAAGTGATTTTTAGTGAAAAGCACTAAATTATGCCTATCAAGGGCATGTCTGCGATACTTCGTGTTTGTCGTCAGTTTCTCATTTTAGTACTTGAATTATGCCAATAAAGTTAATCTTTGGAAATCATTATTTTGTTTTTGTAAGTGCTCTTAAAAGAATAAAAGCGATCTTGATTGACTAAAAAAACACTTTGGCTTCTCAACTCTGAAGTGCTTTTGTGGAAAGTGATTTTTAGTGGAAAGCACTTAAATTAAGCATATCAAGTGAATTGAGATAATACTTCGTGTTTGTCCGTGAGTTTCTCATTTTAGCACTGAATTATGCCAATCAATAATGCTTAGCAATCTATTATTTTTTGCAAGTGCTTTCAACTCTGAATGCTTTTGTTATCTTGATTGACAGATGAACACTTAATGACGCAACTCTGAAGTGCTTTTGTTTCAAAGAAGTGTTAATTGCACTATGAATCTATTGAGGGCTTTGTTTGTCCTAATTTTAGTTCTTTTTGCCGTTCACAATTTCAGGATTCTTACTCATATATGTGAGCTTTTGTATTCTTGAGCTCTATTGCTTTGGGAGTGCTTTTGTAGAAAGTGATTTTTAGTGGAAAAGCATTTGAATTATGCACTATCAAGTGAATCTTTGGAGAAGACTTCAAGTGTATTGATGAGTTTTTCATTTTAGCACTTGAATTATGCCAATCAAGTTAATGTTTAGAAACCAATTATTTTCATTCTCGCTATTGTTTTATAATAAAAGCGATCTTGCTTGATCAAAACACTTAATGGCTTCTCAACTCTGAAGTACTTTTTTCCGTGATTCTGAGGGCTTTGTTTGTCCTAATTTTAGTTATTTTTCCCATTCATAATTTCAGGATTCAGTTGCTCATATAGTTGAGGCTTTGGTGTGGATTCTACAGTATAAAAGTGGAGCTGTATTGAGTATGGCAGCAAATGTAGTTGTGAAGCTTTTGACCGTTATTCCCTCTTCTATATTACAACAGTATATATTGGATCTTGGTGATCCTTTGTTGTCCTTGTTGTCTTCCAATCAATTAGAAGTTGCTATTTCTTGTGCTACAGCTATGAACATGTTTCTCTCTAATCTGATTGTAAAGAAGGAAAAACAAGTTTGGGAAATGCTAAAAGAAAGAAATACTGTTGCCTGTATTGTTACTGAGATTCGAAAGTTTTCTTATGAGATTATGCCAATTGATTATTTCCAAGGGATTGCTTCTCTTTTGAGTACCATAATGTGGCGATGGCCCCAGTCTCGGTATGCTGTTTGGAATGATACTGTATTGATGAAAGTTTTAGACACTCTACTTGTAAAGCCTGACCTCTCGGTTAAAGTTGCAGTTGTGAAGTTGTATTCTTCATTAGGTAATTGCTTATCAATAGTGAATTTCTATATCTTCATCTCTTATGTTGAAGTTAATTTGTGGATTAAATTATCAATTATGTCCCTGTACTAGGTTTATGTGGTAATGCTGCCAAGAAGCTTCTAGACAATGGAGAAGCCCTTCTACAAACAATGGTTCTCTGCATGGATAGCTCATGTCCTCTTGCTGTCCGGGCAGAGGGATTCAGACTAGCCCAATGTTTAGCGGTAACAGTTGTAATTTGTTCTTCTCACAAAATTCCTACAAATATATGTCAACTATTAATATTTGTGTATGTTTTATTGTTCAGACAAATGAGCAAAGTTTCTTAAGAATGACAAGCTTGTGTTGTGAGCCTCTTGTTAAAGCTATTGTTTGTGGGATGAATAGATGGAGCTTTGGCTTTGGGAAGATTTTAAGTGACAAGATGTCTTTGCTAGTCGAGGCATGTCATTTGGGTCTGGTTACTCGTTGGGCAGGGAAGCATCACATTTATTTTTGGAACCATGGGATTGAAAAGGTTCTCCTTGATCTTATTCTGGAAGATTTTCACGGTCGACAATTACAACATTTCTCATCACTAGAAGAACAGATAACGATGGCGCAAGAGGGTCTTAATAAAAATTTTCTTCATGTTTTGAGGCCTTACATCTGGAATATTCTTGGATGGCTTGCAACATACTGTGAGGAAGACTTCACTCCTAATGCGAACGGAAATGAACTTCACATCAAAGTCCTTATTATATGTGCATGGTAACATTTTGTTATTGCAACCTTTTGTGTTTTTGTCTTTGTTATTCACTCTAGTCTGTAACTTTGTCAAGGTTAATATCTTTATCTTCAGGATCTGATTGTTTGTTCCCATTTTCTCTGTAGCTTGGAATTTGTCAATTCAATTAGCATGGGGCATCAAATCTGCGAAATTGATGCCATGCAAACCCCCAGAAGTGAATCAGCATCATGGGCAGTTCTCATGATGGTTTATTCTCCCTGCAAGTACATTTCGTCGAATGCTAGATTTATATTTTCGGAAATTCTATTGCCAAATGGAAAGGACTACTTGAAAAACTTGCTGCATTCCCTAAACTATGTATCATCAGTAGACTGTAGTGGATTGTCATATATACATCAAGCAGTCGTTGACTTGTTAGGGTTGACATGTTACTTAGGCTTGCCAGAGTATCAAAGGCATGTTATTGAAGGTAAAGGAATGAAGATAGCATCGGCTTTTGTGAGGTGGTACTGGAGAAATCATATGCATATTAAGAGGCAAAGGTTTAACCCTCATTGGGATAATAAGTTTTTGAAGAGGACTTGTTGCTGGGTACATGCTGAAGAATGGGAAGGCGATGATGTCCTTTTGCTCTATGGTTTATGGGCACTAGCTGAGTTGGTACACCTTTCGGGTTGTTTAAAAGATAATAGAGACATATATTGTGACGAGGTAAACAGTAAGGAAGTTCCTTTGGTTAGCATACTCCAGGAGATCTGCAATGACGCTTCTAGTGATGGACCAAAATGGTTTGCTGCATATATTCTTAGTCAATTTGGATTTTATGGTTTTCCAAGTAAACTGGGGAAAAGGATGGGGAAAGCACTAAATGAGGACGAACATGCAGATATTCAATTCATACTAACAGATGGGGAGACTTTGAGTGTACACAGTGTTGTTCTTGTGGTACGATGCCCATCATTGCTGCCTCCTGAAGTATTGCCTTTTGATGAGAAAGCATTGACTAATGCTTCAGTGACTGATGATGCTGAAAAGATCCATGAAAAGTTTCGGAAAGAAGTTCGTTTATCTGCTCATGTTGACAGCCAGGCGTTGCTGAGACTGTTAGAATATGTTTACTTTGGTTTTCTGGAAGCAAGAGATGAACTTGTGAATAAGTTGAAACCTCTGGCTAAAAGTTGTAATTTGCAATCTCTATTGCGACTGTTGTATAGAAAAAGTCCTACATGGGGAACTCCTATCCCCAGGTCTGATCTTGCTGCTGCTCTTGGTCCAGTTGGGCAGCGTTGTTCGTATGTTTTGCTCTTTATTTGTTTCCTTAAAGTTATCTTGATGCGCATTAGTTCAATCTGATCATTAATTCCTATTATGATCCCTAATTTTGTTTCTGATTAAGAAGCTTCATTATGAGTAATGTTTCAAATGCTGAAATCTGTGTGCTTCCCTGGTATGCAATGAAAGAACTGTCTTTGATTTGACAGTCTGACTGTGGGTAGATCTCTATGACTGACTTGCAGTAATCTTAAACATGTTTATTATTACAAATTGTGTGGTTGATAATAATTAAGTTCAATTTTTTTTTTCTGTTTTTGGAAAATTGGAACAGTTCATTATGAATAACTTTAGTATCTAATAAATTTGAGGAAATGGATGACTCATTATTTGGATGGAATGAAATTTTGGTTTGATTCCTTCATAGTCTTATGCAGTTTTTCTGAAAGTGTGGCCTTTAATTTACATTGTTTCTGTTTTCAGGGACATCATCCTGGAAGCTAAAGCAACTGAACTATCAAGCTGGACATGCAGTGTTTGCTCTCTACCAGTGCCACACATGCATGTTCATAAAGTTATACTATGGTCAAGCTGTGATTATCTCCGAGCATTATTTGAATCAGGGATGCAGGAGAGGTGCTGATACGACTGTCTAATATATCTTTAACAGTTTGTTTTTCTGTTGTCGGCTAATTTTCTGAAGCAACTGATGAAGCTATCATTTTGTTAGGGTACCTATTGTTTGGCCTTCGCAAGTCTTTATATATGAATGTTGGGGCCCTGAGTTGGTTATTTTGACTTATAATTTGTTTTCAATTACTGTAAATCAACTCTGAAATATCTTTTATATGATTTTAAATATCTTTCTTCCATATTCATAGAAACAATAAATGTTTTCTTCTCTTTAGTCTCTTTTCCCTTAGTATTTCTCTTTTTACAATTTATTCCAGTTCATTTGATATTATGCTTTCTTGCAGCCATTCACAAACCATAAAGGTCCCTATTAGTTGGGAAGCTATGATTAAGCTAGTGGAATGGCTCTATACTGATCAGCTACCAAGTCCTCCCAAAGGGTGTTTATGGGACAATATTGATTCTGAGGAAAAACTGTACCACCTGCTGCCATATATAGAGCTTTGTTGGCTTGCTGATTTCTGGCGATTGGAAGGAATTCAGGATGTATGCTATAGAGTGATTGTATCTTGTCTGGATTCTTCCCGAGAATTGTCGATTAAAATTATCCAAATTGCTTCTAAATTTTCTCTATGGAAGTTGGCTGAAGTTGCAGCGGAGCTCATGGCCCCTTTATATAATAAACTACGAGACTCTGGTGATCTTGAACAGCTGGATGAATTCTTAGTTGATATGGTTCGTACTGCTTCTGTTCGACATTGTCAAGAGATAAGCTTAGAATCTTGAAATGAGGGGTAATCAGGTAAGCAAGCCTTTCTAATGATAGATTAATCTTTGTAGAGTTATATAGGGTTAGTTCTTTTTAGTTAAATCTTTTCTGGTATTTGTTCATTAGGTGTACACCCTTTCCTTAATTCCCTGGCCTTCAGTTTACTAAAATTACAAATAAAATATTATGCTCGACACTTTCTATTTTAGGGGAAGGAAAGGAGGTTGGATCCACACCTCAGCTCCTCACTGTCCAACACCTGCTTTTTTCTCCCAATCCATTTCAGTCTCCAATTCTCTTAAATCTTTCCAAAAGCCCCAATAACTGTTTCTCTCAAGAGCCATGCTCTAAAAGAACCAGCCATTTAGTGATTCAGGTTGGAATTATTGTAGACATTCCGTTAAGATTTGATGACGATAAATTGGCATTAGTTGCTCCTTTTAAACCAGTTGGTATTACAACAATTGGGGTACTTTGAGTGTAGCAGTCAGAAACAGTTTATTTGTGTGGTGCCTGAGCAAGACTTCTTTTCAGAATATTTTTCATTCTCAAAGCATATAAAAGCATTAATATGTTGAGCAGTTAAGCTGAAGAGCTTGTTTGACAATCGTAGGAAAAAAAACTACTTATTCTTTTCTTTCTTTATTCATGTGGCAGGATTTATTGCTGAACTAAACATAAAACTTTGATTGGTTAAAAAAAACATCAACTTTCAGTATGTGAATAACGTAAGTATTCTCTTTTTATCTTTATTTGTGAGTTTGGATAATTATAAATTTGAGGGTTTTTAGTTCCATTCATAGAAGCTTGTTTGATATTTTACCGTATTTTCAAGTATACCAGGTGAATATATCTTAAAATCTTTCTTCAGCTCTCTTTTTTTTTCTTTCTCCTTGGCCATTTTTTCAGTCTGTCTTTGTGCTATATTTCTATGGTTTTAATCTTGGTGGCCACTTACGGATATTTGGTATCTGCAATTCCTAATTTCAGAATTGTTTTCAAGTGGGTGGGTTTACATACGTGTGTAGAGCTACAATCTTCTTCTTCTGTTTTTTTTTTTTTTTCTTGAATAAGAACCTATGAGGCTGAATTCTTCTTCCCAGAAAGAAATGGAAAGGAAAGAGAAGTTTTTAAAAATTGTAAATACCTTTCAGGAAAGGTGATTTCAAAATGTATAGCAGGACCAGTTTGGTACCTATAAGTTCCATAACAGATTATTAAAGCGAGAACTTATGAGACTTGGTGGGTTGTTGAAAATTCCAATCTTTTTGTTTCTTGGCACAGACTTTTGTATTGGTAAGACATTTTGTATTATTTGTTAGATAGTTATGGTAATATTCATTGTAGGACAAGTGAGAATCAATAATGGTTTGGTCGTTGCATGTACCTTAAGCTAAAGTTGTTTTCATGCCTCTGCCGGTTCTATACAACATACTGATCTTAATATGTAGTTTATGAAATAGATTCGAGTTGTTAATCTATGATATCTCTACGGAGCTGAAGATTCATTTCAGGAATTTCCAAGTTTTTTTATATTTGCATAACCTTAGCTAATATCATCTATTGGTTGGTCTGTTTTTTTGTCAATGTATGCAGAATTACTGCATCAAAAGGAATGCGATTGATTAACCTAGAGAATGATAGCAAAACACAGTTTTGTACAGCAACATAGTGATCATGGAAGACGGATACTTTAGAAGAACAAACCTAACGTTCCCGGTTTAAAATCTGTACAGTAACCAATATATTTGATTTATGACATTTTTTATGTGCAGTTGATTGTACTCTTATTATTGTTCTTGCATTTCTGAATCTTCATTGTTGAGTGCTTGAGCTTTCTAATTTATCGATTGATGTCTTGTTGGAGGGCTTTTTTGGTTCGTTGAGTTCACAGCATTGCTCGTGTGGAACGTTGGCTCTGGCTATAGTGCAGCATTATTTTACAAGTTTTTATGTTTTAATTTACAGGTTTCTTGTCATAAATTTACAATTTTTATGTTGATGCATTGTTATAAACATGTATTATACCACTACTTGGAAAAACGTCACATTGTTCCAAGATATGATGCAAGTCACCAATATTTCACATGAACATAATTATAGACTATGATATTTGAACATAATTAGTTTGATAACCTGTTTTAAAAAATAGTAGTCATATATGTATTCCAAATTATTATCCTCCATTATGAAGTATTTTATTAGAGATACAAAGGAAAAAAAGTAAACATATAATTACATTGCAAAAGCAATGTTATTCCAGTTGATGGCCAAGTACAGTATAGAGATAAAATTTTCTTTAAAAAAATAAAAATAAAAAGAGAATTAAGCCAAATACCACTATTCACACCCAATGACCCAATAACGGCAGCAAGGAGCTGAAACGTTTCTTGTCACTTTCACTTTGATGGTTAGGCCCTCACAACAGGTGGTCGCGGCAATTTTTATATTTATTTAAATTCATAATTTTAAATATTTATTTAGAATGATCTTATTGCCTATTGGTCTCTTATATTTTATCTTATTAGTTCGCTGTTACTATTTTCTTCTTGGTTACAGTTTTATCTCTTATAAAAATTATTAAGACAAAAATATTTTATGCACAATCCATCTAGAATAAAACTGTTTCTATTAATTTAAAATTTAAAATTTATTTTCTACATCATAAATCTAAAATAATATAGATTAAACATAACCTATATGTATTAAGTTCTTTGGGTTTATCTTATCCTTTTTTATTGTTTTTAACTTTCAATTGATTTGCACTTTTCTAGTATTATAAATTTATTATTATTATTATTATTATTATTTATATATTTTTTTTAAAGAAAATACATGTAGAGTCTATGATTGAAACTTAACAATGTGCGCAATTGACTAAATATGCTTGATTGATATGTTAAATGAAGATTAAAAAAAGATGAAGAGTAAATACAAAACAAGGTTTGAGAAAATATAAAATGAATAGTAAAAATATAAATATAAGAGTTATTTTGTAAATCGATAAGGTTTATTTAGACATTTATATTTGATTTAAAAATTTTAATAGGATAAATTTAGAAGTAAATTTATAAAGATAAATGATAAGGGACAAATCTAGACTTGGCAAAACGGGAGGGTGGGTCGGGTACGGGCCGAGCCTAATAGGTTTGGTCCCAAAACTGGTCGACTCTAAACGGGTCCAAAATATTGGACCTGATCCCTATCCTATGCGGGTATGAGCGGTTCCAAGTACCCTGCATTTTTCGGGGGAACCGGAACCGGAACCGCATAGTGCAGGTTCCCAAAAAAAGGAACCGGAATCAGAACCGCACAGTGCAGGTTCTTCAATTCAAGGAACTAGATAAAAATGCAGGTTCCGGTTCCTTTCAGGGTACCCTATAAAAAATCAATTACCCCTATTAGTTTAAAAAATAGCAAAAACACCTTATAAGTTACAAATACACCCCTAACAAATTTTCATTATTCATTCATTTGTGTCCAATGTAACTCCTAACCTGTAATCTCTAAGCAACAGAATTGTTAATATTAATTAAGTATTGTAATATGTTATAATATAATGTTATAATTAATTAAAACCATACCATAATTTATAATATAATGTTATAATAATTTGATTAAGTATTGTGTAAATTAGTAAATTACTAATGTTTATAATATAATGTCATAATCAATTAAGAATTATTTATATGTAATGTTATATTAATTATATGATCATACTATAATAGTATAATGTAAGTTATAATGAATTAGTAATCATACTATAAATCTATAATTTAATATTATAATTAATTAAATTTCAATAAATTAATTAATATACTAATGTTTATATGGAATGATAATGTTATTAAGTAATTATATTATAATATATAAGGTATGTTATAATTAATTAATTTCAAACGTTTAATTAAGTAATGTAATAATATAGTAAATACTAATGTTTATATGTAATGTTATAAATTCATAACTAATTAAGTAATATGTAATCATTTAACATGTAATGTTATAATTAAGAAGTGATCAAATATAATGTAAATAATAATATTATAATTTAATTGAGAATTATTAACTATAATGTAATGTTTAATTATGTTATAATAAAATGTTTATAAGGTAATGTTATAATTAATTAAATTTTTATCATTTAATTAAGGATTGTGCTAATGTTTATGTAGTAAATGTATTACTAATGTTTAAAACATAATATTATAACGCATAATCAATTAAGTAATCATTAATTATATAATGTTAATTAATTATAGATCATACTATAAAGTATAATGTAATGTTATAATGAATTAAGTAATCATACTAAATCTATAATTTAATATTATAATTAATAAATTTCAAACATTTGATAATATACTAATGTTTATAATGGAATGTTATAATTAATTAAGTAATCATATAAATATATAAGGTAATGTTATAATTAATTAAATTTTAATCGTTTAAAGTAATGTAATAAATAGTAAATTAGTAAATACTAAGTTTATAATGTAATGATATAAATTCATAAATAATTATGTAATTATGTAATCATTTAACTATGTAGCTATAAATAGTAAGTGATCATAAATATAATGTAATATAATAATATTATAATTTAATGAGTAATTATTTAACTATAATGTAATAACTTAATTAATGTTATAAGGTAATGTTATAATTAATTAATTTCTTATCATTAATTAAATATTGTGCTAATGTTTTTGTAGTAAATTAGTAATTACTAATGTAAAACATAATATCATAACTCATAATCAATTAAGTAATCATTTAATTATGTAATGTTATATTAATTAATGATTATACTAAATAGTATAAGTAATGTTAAGAATTAAGTAATCATACTATAAATCTATAATTAATATTATAATAATAAATTTCAAATCATGATTTTAATATACTAATGTTTATAATGGAATGTTATAATTGATTAAGTAATTTATTATTAAATATATAAGGTAATGTTATAATTAATTAAATTTCAAATCGTTTAATTAAGTAATGTAATAATATATTAAATTACTAATGTTTATAATGTAATGTTATAAAATTCATAACTAAGTAATTATGTAATCATTTAAACTATGTAATACTAATTAAGTAAGTGATCATAATATATAATGTAATATAATAATATTATAATTTAATTGAGTAATTATTAACTAATGTAATGTTTAATTAATGTTATAATGAAATGTTTATAAGGTAATGTTATAATTAATTAAATTTCTTATCATTTAATTAAGTATTGTGCTAATGTTTATGTAGTAAATTAGTAATTACTAATGTTAAAACATAATATCATAACTCATAATCAATTAAGTAATATTTTATTTGTATTATATTAATTATATAATCATACTATAATAGTATAATGTAAGTTATAATATAAGTATCATACTATAAATCTATAATTTAATATATAATTAATTAAATTTCAAATCATTTGATTAATATATTAAGTTTATAATAAAATGTTATAATTGATTAAGTAATTATATTATAAATAATAAGTAATGTTATAATTATTTAAAATTTTAATCGTTTAATAAGTATTGAATAATATAGTAATTAGTAAATTACTAATGTTTATAATGTAATGTTATAATCATAACAATTATGTAATTATGTAATCATTTAACTATATAATGCTATAATTAAGTAAGTGATCATAAATATAATGTAATATAATAATATTATAATTTAATTGAGTAATTATTAACTATAAGTAATGCTTAATTAATGTTTTAATGAAATGTTTATAAGGTAATGTTATGATTAATTAAATTCTATCATTTAATTAAGTATTATGCTAATGTTATGTAGTAAAAGTAATTACTAATATTATAATTAGACATAATCAATTAAGTAATATTTAATTATGTAATGTTATAATTAATTATATAATCATACTATAATGTAATGTTATAGTGAATTAACTATTAAGTAATCATACTAAAATTTTAATGTAATATTATAATTAATTAAATTTTTATTTAATTAAGGTTGTACTAATGTTTATAATAAAATGTTATAATTGATTAAGTAATTATACTATAATCTATAACGTAATGCTATAATTAATTAAATTTCTAATTATAAGTCAATTAATTAACTATTTAATATGTTATAACTTATAAGTCAATTAATTAAGTAGTAATCAATTAATGTAATGCTATAATTAATTACTTAAATCAATTAAGGAATGTTATAAAATTATAATTAATTAAGTAATATATAACTATAATGTAATGTTATAATTGATTAAGTATGATATTAACTAGTAATTAAATTTAGTAATGTTATCAATTTACATATATATTAATTAATTACTAATTTATATGATATACTTAGAACTGTAATTGAAGTAAATAACTAAATATATTATATCAATCAAATATACTATTTATTCAAAAAAAATTCTTTTAATAACATTAAAATGTAAACACTTTTAATTGGATCATAATCCAATATTCACTTAATTGATCAAAACTTTAATATTAATGTATTATAAATATTAAAGCTTTAATATGGTGTAATTTATATGTAATAAGTATAATTGTATTCGGATATTTATAATTAGGTTATTCTAAAAATTTAACTTTTTCTATTTAAATTTTTTATATGTAAAATAATAGAAACTCCCCCATTATTACATTTCACATATTTTATTATAGTCCAGGTTCCAAAATATGGTTCTAAACAGGTTCTAAAAACAGGTTCCAAAACAGGTTCAAACAGGTTCCAAAGCAGGTTCCAATAGGTTCCAAAACAGATTCCAAACAGGTTCCAAATAGGTTCTAAACAGGTTCCAAACAGGTTCCAAACAGGTTCCAAACTGGGTACCCCTACAGGTTCCAAACCGGGTACCCACAGGTTCCAAACAGGGTACCCTTTTTAAGGTTCCGGTTCTGGTCTCCACATACAAGAACCAGAACCAGAACCGCACAGTAGCGGTTCCAAAAAATTGGAACCGAAACCTACCCGCACAGTGCAAGGTTTGGGTAGGGTTCCGGTTCCGGTTCTTACCCCCGGTTCCGGTTCTATCCGCTACCAGTGCT